ATATCTGTTGACAAGAGTCATTTTGTGAAAAAGCAATTTAGGAAGGAAAAAAAAAAAAAAGAAAAAAAAGAGGGAGAGAAGGAAAAAGAAAAAAGAAGATATGCAGGAACATGGACATTTTTGAGCAGTTATCTGCAGTTACAGGCAACTGCATACTCCGTCTTCTAAGTGTTTTTGTCTGCTATTCCTACTGGAAGGCTGTTCCAGAATCATGTTGTTCCATCATTAGAAGTTTTCTAATTTCCAGAAGAAAATATAAGCATAGCCAGTTCTGTTTACTTGTTCTTAAGCCAACGCTTTTCTTTAGAGGAATTAATTATTTCCCTTCCCTGTTATCTTAAAAGGGCAGCCACATCCTCGCTCAGACTTGCTTTTCTTGGACAGATCTAGACCAGCTTTGTTTTTGAGTTTGTTTCTAAGATGCCTTTAAATCACAGAATAAGCTTTTCCCCTCCATTTCTTCCAGACTGAATCCCTGTCTTGAGGACAGGTGACTGTGATAGCATTCCCAGAGAGACATCCCTGCCCTCTTCCCAGCATGCCAGCACTTCCCTCTCTTGCTGAAACACCCCACCCAATAGTTTGCTTAGAAAACCTATCTTTATTCTGTGTATTCCTTGGGCAAATAAAAGTGATTGATCGATGAGATATAATTTAGGATATCTGAAGTAAAATGTTTATAATATTTTGGTCTTAAATGTTAGCTTATTCTACTTACCAAGTCAAACATGCCATTTAAAAAAGATGTCTTGTAATTATTAGTTCTTTCAGTTTATCTGGAGGCACCAGTCATGGACTGCTGCATCTGTGCAAGTACAGACCAAAACTTCACACAGAAGAGCTGCTATTCTCAGTAAAATTTAGCCTAATCCTTATTCAGTATGATTTTATTCAGGCATTCACATGCCTACTTAAAAAAAATCATACTGGATTTTGGAAAGGTACGAAATATAAGTACAAGCACAGCTTATGTATGCAATAAATACTTTCATATATTTAGAAAAGTCCCCTTCTGTAGTCCATTTCTGGAGCACAAAATGAGTCAGTGATTATCCAAAATTCCCAAGCTTAAAGGACACAAGCAAGACTGTGGAAAAACAGGAAAGGGGGAGAATTACACTGGTAATAAAGGACTTACAAGTTAGCTTTAAATGTATTACCAATTTATGCAGCTGATATTCTGAGCATCTATATACTTACATATTAAGAATCCAGAACATCTTCTCCAAATTTTTCTCATTCAGACTCGTAAAAATTCACTTCTAGAGACAGAAGTCATCTTATCCAGATACTTACTATCAGCTACCCTAAAATATTTTCCATTTTGAAACAGAGGTTTCTTAAATGCCCTCAGAGAGGGCAACTGGAGTTATATAAATCTTGTCTGAAGTCAAACTATAAAAAGGGTGAGAAGTGGAACTGCTGTTGGGATGCTGGAGCAAAACAATTAAAATAGGAAGAAAGTAGAGGAAAATGATCCATTATGGCCTAGTTAGAAACGCTTATTCAGATAGTTGAAGAAAAGAATACAAAGGAAATGTAGGAAAGGACAGCCCCTAGGTCAGCCTGATACTTGTTTCCCTACACATGGAAAAACATCCTTCATGAACACTGGATTCTCCCATCACACAAAAACTCATCCTCAAGATAAATGCCTCAGTGAAACCGTTGGCTGTTATCACTGACAGCATTGGAAAACCATTGCAAAAACTAAAACTCATGAAACATATAAAACATGTAAGCATGTATAGTTCTGATGGGACATACCTACAGACAACGTGTGTAGTTTGGCACCTGTGCTATATATTTATGCTTAATGCTTCACATAGGAAATAAAAGAATGCATTTAAACAGTGTAGAAACTACCAACTGTCATTGAATACATTGCAAAAACAATTTATAACCTTGAAAGTATGACTGTTTTTATTCTACACCAATAGTTTATGAGATGTAAGACAGTCAGGCTAGCTAATGCTTTTCACAGTATGCAGATTATCAGCTTCCCAAGTAGGATACTCAAAATGAAATATTATTAACAATTTATGATTATTTCCATGCAGATACTGAATGACTAATTCCTATCATATTTTTCTGTAGTTGCAGGAAGAAGTGTTTCTGCACCTGTTTCTCTTCCCCCAAATCTAATCATCAGTAAAATTGTACTCAGCCAGCTGTTAAATTTCAGTTCTGTTTGTATATTTCATGCATTTAAAGACTGACAAAATATGAAGTCATATAGCCACAATAAAATGTTAGATTGGTACCAAGAGAAGTTATCGCCAACTTCGCAAAACTTTACACATTCTTGGATTTTGTTGTAATGCCTGACTATATTGAAGACAATGGTGGATACTTATATGCAAACTAGTGTACCAGTTAACATAGTAACTTTAGCAAAAGTTTGGAAAAACGTGGACTCTTTCCGGGGTTTCTTTTGAGAGCTTAAACCAGTTTATATTTACTAGAAATTAATATAAAACAGGTTAGCTTATGTCTTCTCCTATGGCATTACTCACATAGGCTATGACATGTTCACATTTTAAGAACACAAAGCTTATTAATTCATTTAGTCATAAATCATTACATTTTTTTGGTACACCTGTATTGAACCAATTGCCTTGTGTCTGAATGGAACATAATTTGTGTTTTGGCTACACATGTATTTGAAGATATCAACAAACAAAATCAAACGTTACAGGTAGCTCCAAACCTACAACTGTTCTGTCAACATGCCTAATACAGTGATTCATTCAGGTATTTATAGTCTGAGCACAAACATTTAACTCTAAAGGTTTTTACTATTTACCATACATATTTTCTAAAAATTGTAGATTTAAATACATACTTATGCATCCATAGAAGGATGCTCACATGATTTGGTAAATATACATAGATAAATAGCTAAGTATGACAGAAATTAAAAATGTGGTAGCAGAACTGATAGCCAAGGTCACTCAAATTTTTCCATTGACAGATGGCTTAACACTTTGCAAAATTGAAATGTATTAATTGGAATGTTACATGCAATATTTTTTATGTTAAAATGGTTTAGACATTTCCAAAAATATAACAATTGAAAAAAAAATTGTTTTACTTATAGCAAAAAATAACCTATTATTTTCCTCATTAAAAAGTCCTCGTATCTTCCTGGTTTGTAGTAAAGACCCAAAATATGCCAGTAGAGTCTTGCAAGGTGCCTTGAATTTGTGGTATAATGTTTTTTACAAACATTCAGAATTGCATATTTTAAAAGTATCTGGGAAAAAAAAATGTTAACAGAGACATATGTGTTTGGCAACTAAATTTCATATAGGTCAATCTCAGCTAAGTGTGCTCAGGCCAAGAATTTCCAAGACTGAGCAAGATTTCTTCCCTGACTCTTCCTGGCAGTTGAAGCTTGACGTAATGTCTGGCTTCCCAAGAATGGACATGGAGTTGGGCTTTCACCTGCAGCATTGCAGCAGCTGATGCTGAGGCACCAAGAGAAGCCAGTGATCATACCAGAAATGCATTAAACGGGGATTGTAGTAACTGGGAAGAGGGGGAGGCACAGGTGGGCAAAGCTGGAGATGAAGAGAAGTCATGGCAACAGCTTGTTAGAAGAGTGGGGCAAAAAAAAAAAGACAAGTAGGAGCATGAGGAAAAAGGTAATTTTTGTGCCAGGTTATCACCCCAACTAGGGGAGTTCATGATTCTGTAAGATCCTCTTTTTCAATTAGAGAATTATATTTAAAATATTCACGAAAATATATCGTTACAGGTCCTACAGCAGCTTTACATTATTTAATGCAGTGGTCATAGATAGTTCTGGGTAACTCCAGGAATAGAACTGCCACCCCCTCACAGAAAATGGATTGTTTGACATTTTTATCAGCTCCAGCCTTTGTTCCATGGAGATGACAGCCAGATACCTACTTTGGCATGACTGCTGGAAAGTAGGTAGCGAGCACAGCTGACAGCATCTCACAAGTCTGTGATGCTAAATCAGCACCACCACCACGTGCTTCTGCAATGAGGACGGGATGTGGAGGTAGAGTCGTGACAGTATGTTCCAAGGTGTCCCTGTGGTTCTTCCAGCTTGCTCTGTCAATGTTTCATCTGGGCTTACTAGTGTTTATAAAAGCACGGCCTTAAAATAACTGCATGGTGTTAATAGAAGCAAAAATAGCAGTTTTTATGCTTAGCTTCTTTGTACTGGGGCTAAATTGGGCTAAATTGGGTAAGTCCAGAAATTATATTAGAACAACCCAGTTTAAGTGACTTTAAAATCTTTCATGTCTTAAAGAACACTGCTAAAATGTTCTGCTTAAAGAACACTGCTAAAAGCTAAAACCAGACCAGGACATGTTCTTTCCTGTTCTGCAGAAATGCTTCTCCCTTTTAAGGGGGCAAAGTTTGAGGTGACTTTTGCTTAGAGACTATTAAAATCTATTCAGTAAGTTCTCCGTGTACAAGTGGAGAAAGGAGTAACCTTGAAATTCTCAAGCTTCTGAAAAATGCAGAATTTTAAAAAATCATTCAGATTTTCCTTGGCATTTGAAAATGAATCATGTATATCCATGCATGAAAAGTATTTTTGAAGAGCAGCATGTGAAAATAGGATCTTCATAATTTCACAAGCTACAGATTTTACTCACCTGTGAAATATGAAGGTGGAAGCATAAGGTTCATTGTTTTTATTTTTGTCATAACATTATTTTTTAAATAGAAAAAGCAGTCTCTATGAGTTTAATATAAGCACAGTGGATCAATCAACTTCTGCCACCAAAACTGATAAATTTCTAGTTGTTCCTGTCTGGGTGGTGAAATAAAGTGTTGATCATGTCTCACTGAGAAATCCACTTTAAGAAAAAAATAAAAATTGTTATAGGTCTGTGAGTATCATCTGTGATTATTGTCAGATGAGCCACAGACAATATCTGAAGTAATGTACTGCATGTTCTAGGACAAGACAAGGAAACACAGGCTGTTACAACAGTATGCTCAAGTTTGAACCTCACTTGACACTGGAGTCTGTCTCAATCACTTCAGTGAGGGATAAGGGAAGCTCTGCAGAAAGAAAAGAAAAATTAGTTATTTTATCATGCTACAGTACAATAAAAAGTTGTTTTAAAATTTGGTAATCTGAAATATTTTAGCATCAGTTTGTTGAGATGGATATTTTTCCTATAGTAAACTGCTGTTTATATATTGATACTATTGAAAACAGTTTCAAATAGGCTTTTAAAATTATTTTTCAGTAGTTACAAATTTCTTACAACTGTTCTTTGAGTAAGGAAACAATACAATGACAGAACCGGGAACATTTTTATTCTTTTAAAATTCAGAGTTTGTTTAGACATATATATATATATATATATACAAATCAGCAAAACATACATACATACATACATATATATATATATATATATATATATGTATGTATGTATGTATGTTTTGCTGATTTCTGATTTGCCAGTGATAGAACCCATGTAATTGCAGAAGCTGACAAATCAACTTTTGCATTTGTATATCTGACAAATAATACTAATTATTTTTAAACCTTGCACATGAGAATGTGATTAGAATGAATGCATCTGACACTGATTATCTGAGACAGGATGTTATTAAATCCCTTTGGGGATCTTTGTAAGACCCACCACATTTTGAGCAGAGCTTTTATGTGCATTAGTACATTTATGTAGCGATTACACAGTATTTACTACTGCAAAATGTCAGGAAAAACAGTGAACAAACAGCTAAGTGGAATTTACACCACTCTTCTCTCTATCAAAACATCTCACAACCTCATAGCCTTAAAATGTTTTGTCAGGATTGCCTATATACCAAAGCTATTTGCTATGTATCGGTAAAAGGTATGGGATAGGTTAGCTTGACACTACACAGAAGAGAGCTGGCAATGGATTTGAGCAGAGATTTGTCCCTGCTAAGATAATATCTTAGCTCCAAAATCATCACTTTAATTAATTTTGTGGGCTTAAAAAGCTAGGCAATGTTTTAATTTCACCCATTTCAAAATTTGTGAGTTTTGTTACTTCATTAGAAAAATAACACTGAGGATTACTCGCCGAAGTGGGGAGAAATACACAAAAATCAGTGGCTTGAAAAAGCTCCATTAATTCTGGAAAAAAACTGTGGCTGCATTGTCTGATTTGGTTTGAAATTAAGATAGCAAGGATCAGATTTTTAGGAGCAGTTTACAATTCTGTAGTTAAAAATATGTAGATACAAAATGGAATGACAGGTAGAGACCACTTTCAAATCTACGTTCTTACAGTGGACAGTTTTCCTGTCATCCAGAGTTGAGACTATAAACATACAGTGAAGTACAGGACTGATATGTATTAAATAAATATACACGTATTGATTGTGAGATTTACAGCTTGCCTGAGAATGTCAGGAAAGCTGTGAAACGTACATAATCCAAAGTAATACTGACTGCTCACTGAAGAATCAACAATACTGAGATATTAGAGGTTTCCTCACCTCCACTTTGAATTTCAAGTTAATATTGCTGTAAATTCATGTAATGACAACACATACACCTCAGGCCATCTATTATTTTTCTATCTTCTCTATGTGTCTTCACATACCTAGTCCAAGTCTGGTGTGAAAGAAATTAAAAAATACTCAAAATGCTCCTTCATTTTTCAATGAACTCAGTCACACAACTAGAGCGATATACTAGAATTCATATATTGTTTTTCATCTGAGTACCCTACAGAGCATCATCTTGAGGCCAATAGTTTTTGATGTGAAGCTGTTCCCAGGTGGACTTAGAGAAGTGGCAAGAGACTCATCAGAGTTCTCCATTATCATAAATATTGAGATTCTCTGCTGCTTTTCTGTAGCACAGCCATTGCTTCTGAAACATGTCCCTGTATGTAAAGATGTGTTTTAAGGAACATATAGAAGGTCACTACTTTGCAGTACCCACTTGTAATTGTGGTGAATATTGGACAGTAGGATTTTCTGCATGCACAATGACCACTGACCACAGAAAAAACTCATGCAAAAATTCTGGTTCATAAATATGAATTTGCTTGAGTGAGGAAAACATGATCTTTTATTTTGTTTATCCTTCAAGGCATTTTATGTGCATTTTTGATATTACAAAGGACTACAGTAATACTTTATGGGGTATTCTGTGTGGTGCAGTACTGTAGTTCTTCCTCAGATTTTACTCAGGAAAAACCGCCTTTGACTTGAGAGAAAATTGCTTGACTGAGGACTGAACAGAGTGTTTTGAATCTTACCAGCACTGCTTGATGTTAATGTTGGGTAACAGTTCTCATTGCTAATTTGCCTGCCTTGTTGGCCTTTTCTTGGGCTCCAGATCTGCTTTTGCTTTGTGTTATTCATGGCTTATATTGCTTGTTCAGATTGCTTCCTTTTGTGCTTTTCATTTCCAGCAAATATTTTGCAGCTATTGTTCTACTACTAGTAGATGTGCATGGAACCTGGTATGTGGAACTTGAACCTCAGCCCAGATTTAATTAAAACTATTAAACATGTTCTCACTGTGGTGCTCAGAAGGAATTTTGGTGACCCTCTTTTGATGAAGCATAAATTTGCTTAATCTGATGTTTTAACAATGAAAAAATACAAGGGCTCGATTCACAAATCTTAAGAACAAGTGCTTCTCCAGTAAAGCAGATGGAGTAGCACCTATTTACAGCCATGATAAAGTCTTAAATGCCTATTCTGACATACAACAGACACTGTACAAGAAAATCACTAAAGATGTGTGCTGGAACCTTGTTTTGTAGAATTAATACTGCTTTAAAGTAAGATCTTTTGAATAATAATTAGTACCAAATTATGCCATAGCCTATTGATATGCAGCAAATCTAGCTAGGTTATCACTCGTATGTCTTATGAGCCATACCTAGCCATGGTTTATCCTCTATTCATGCTGCAGGGTACGAAATTCCTGGGTGCCAACCTGCCTATGGCAACCTAGAATTCTCCAGGGCAGGCTCGCAAAATCTTCACCTACTCTCTGGGACAGGTAATGAATAAGTGATGTTTTGTGAAGTTATGCTTTCTTTCTAACTTTCTGATGTCCGTAAAAATGTTTCATTTCTACATGTCAGTCTACAGTCTTTCATCGTTCAGTTGTCCTACATTTTCTAAACTAGGAGAATGACAGCAGATCTGTTTATTATAGTACTCTAGATGCTTGCCTCAGCCAAGCCTGTAATAATTATTATTAGCATGTATAAAAATTGAAGTTTTAACATCTATTTTTTTTTTCTTTCTGATGGCATGCATTGAATTCCACTAGTGATGCCACAGTTATCCGGGCAGTTTGCTCACCTTTCTTAATTGACAGTACTTATATATTATCTCTCCTTTGTTAGGTTTACATTAGTATTTGGTTTCCTGAAATAAGTTTTTTTTCAATGTTATAGATATAGAGATGGTGAAAAGATGGAGGAGTTATAACTGATTCTAGTTTACATCCCTATGCAGCATGTAGTGTAAGTTTAAATAATGACTCATTTTTCCATATTTTGCTTAGATTTTCTTCTACTTTTCTCCTGAATTTACTCTTTGTTCTTTGTTGCTTGACATTATTACAAGTGGCAGGTATGTAGAAGAAAAGTCCTTCACTAATCCTCTAGTTTTCAATGAAATATGAAATACTGAATATATTTTGAAGTAATAAATTAATTAGATTTAAAAAAAAAAAAAAAAAGTAAAGACAGGCTGAGCTTCAGACTGTCCTTTTACATTATGTTGATTTTCTTTGAATAACATTCACAAATTTTCAATTTAAGAGTGCTGCTAGTGTAGGTAAGATAAGTAAGATTCTTTCAGTATTTTTTGGCACAATATACACTTTGTGGAGTAAAAAATAATAAATAATAATAAAATAAAATAAAAATCCTGGAAAAGTTACTTGAATTCTGGTTTAGCAGTCCCCTGGGGCTCTGCAAATGTGCTCTATTCTTACCTTTAGATGGGTTAGAATAAGTTTGCTTATTAAAAAAAAAAAAAAAACTATAAAAAATAGCTTTGTTCTACTGCTTGTCCTTTTTAAAACCAGGAGACAACCAGTGAAGCAAAATATAATCAGGACGTGAAACTGTTTTTTCAAAATGTTTGACCCTGATTTAAATTTGGTTGAATATTTTGAAGTAATTTAAAATCAGAACAGATTCATGCAGCCATGGTGTAACTGATGATTTTGATCCTTATGTGATATTTTTTAATGTATGCCTATGACAAAGTTTAGTGATTTGGGATGCCATTTATTAGCCTTCCTGAAAGGATCTCTGGGGAGAAGTGCCTTTTCCTACCACTGCTGTCCACATGCAGTTCTTATTCTTGAATGAAAATAAGCTTGCTTTTCTGGAGGACAATATGAAACTTTTTCTCCAAGCATTTCAAAACCTGAAGTGCACAAATCCAAGATTTTATCCCAGGCTATCTAAACATTTCATAGAATATATAGATGCTGAAAGATATCTTTCATTTATTCCCCTTCTTTTTATAAAGCTCAAAATGATCTAAATTTTACTGGAGAGATTTTAGTAATTTCTTGGATCCTTGCTTACTTCTTTTATGTTTATTTACCCATATCTTAATCACATTTTTTCAACATATCTAGACTTTAAAAATTTATCTGGAAACTTGCTTTCCAACTGTATTGAAAATGTCAGCTTGCTGGAGGAACAACAAGAACAACAAAAACATTTGTTTGTGAAAATGAAAGATATTGAGTATGGCTACAGTTTGCACTTCCAAACTGAGGATAGATTCTATTTTATCCAACCTGCTGCACCTTAACTTTAAAAAAAAAGTAATTAGAAAACAACAAAATTTTGAACTGGAATGTTTAAGTAATTCAGGTATAAGGCAAAAACCTGTGGGCTGTGCTTAGGTAATTGACATCTCCAGGTACAGGAAGAATTTATAGTATCTCTTTTGGGAAAGCCTGTAGAAGATAGATCTGCTTTGTCACTCTGCATAGTTCTTTGGGGTGCTACATCTGTAGGATAAGTGGAAGGTCCTGGGTCTCCTCTGAAGAAGCATGCTGTCTATTGCTTTTCATGTGAATAGCGCAAGTGTCTCTTCAGACAGCTGCTTTCTGTTTCATTTGGTCCCTTACTTGCAAAGAGCTCCCTCTTTTGCTGTCTCACTCCAGAAACCACAGGATAGCCCATGCTAAAGTGCTGGACTGTTCAGAGGAATTAAGTTCTATTTATTCCCTTTCTTTTGCCAAACATTCATCAAAACAAAACAAAACAAAACAAAGTCTTACACTGAAAAGCCAGGACAAAATAGACTCAACTGAACTAATAAGTCATGATATTAGGCTGGGAGGAAGGTTCTGTGAAATGACACCACAACATCCTGAGCAGTGTTGAACTTGCTAGAGTGAACTTGTTTATACTCTTGCAGAGTAGAAGACTCCTCAGTTAACAATTCCTGAAATAGTATAAAACACTGTATAAAACAAGGTAGGGCTCAAAATAATCAGCAAAAGATGACAGATGGTAATTTCTTTCTCTTTCTCTTTTTTATTCTGTAATATCAAGTTGATCAAAGTGCTGATGAACATTTATTACTGTGTGAAAAACTAAAAATATGTTGAAGCACTCAAGCAAAATAAGTGCATTCAGATAACACCCATTAGTTCTCCTTGTTACTTTTCAGCACTTCATATATGACTCTGTGTATAGTAAGAGTTTCTGAATAGCCTTCAGAATATGAATTACATGTACACTGCCGAGAATATGGGTCTGTCCAGGTTAAGGTGTATTGTTTAATCAGCTATGTTTTTTGTTTGTATTAGCAAACCAATGATCTATTCTACTGCCAGAAAAATCTTCCAAAATTCACTAGAGCTCTCCTCTGTGGCTTGGCACTGTAGTATTGTCAGACAGCCATGTGTGATGGCAGAACCAAATCACAGAATCACAGAATCATCTAGGTTGGACGAGACCTCCAAGATCACCTAGTCCAACCTCTGACCAAACACTAACATGTCCTCCACAAAACCATATCGCTAAGCTCTACATCTAAACATCTTTTAAAGACCTCTAGGGACAGTGACTCCACCACTTCCCTGGGCAGCCCGTTCCAACACCTAACAACCCTTTCAGTAAATAAATTCTTCCTAATATCCAACCCTGGCACAACTTTGGCCCATTCCCCCTCGTCCTATCAGCAGGCATGTGGAAGAATAGACCTACCCCCACCTCGCTACAGCCTCCTTTAAGGTACTTATAGAGCGCAATAAGGTTGCTCCTGAGCCTCCTCTTCTCCAGGCTGAACAACCACAGCTCCCTCAGCCGCTCTTCATAAGACTTGTTCTCCAGGCCCCTCACCAGCTTCATTGCCCTTCTCTGGACTTGCTCGAGCACCTCGATGTCCTTCTTGCAGCGAGGGGCCCAAAACTGAACACAGTACTCGAGGTGCAGCCTCACCAGAGCCAAGTACAGGGGGACGATCACCTCCCTAGGTTGTGATCTGCTGGCCATACTGCTTCTTATACCAGCCAGGATGCTGTTGGCCTTCTTGGCCACCTGAGCACACTGCTGGCTCATATTCAGCCAACTATCAACCAATACTGCAAGGTCCTTCTCTGCCAGGCACCACTCATCTAACTTTCTCACTTTCTAACCACTCATCTCCCAGCCTGTAGTGTTGCTTGGGATTGTTGTGCCCCAGGTGCAGGACCCAGCACTTGAATGATATGGAACAGAGACTGCAGCAGAACTGCACTGACAACTACTGAAAGTGTCTGAGAGGTCACCACTATCTCCCACCCTGAGCACTAGAAGTGTTATCTACTATATTCTTTATTAAAAATATCTGGCAAACATCTGCATCTTTTTAAAGACAAGAACCTATGGATTAAATTTAGAGATACAACATGAGTTATTCATGTGAATCCTATCACAAAACAGGCTCAGAACACAACTGTGACTAGACATAATTAAAATGACAATTCTGTAATTTACTCAGATCAGGTAATATAGAGTGCTTATAAAGGAAAAAGTCAGTGGTACCTGCAGTTTCTTCTCCCCCTGTCCAAGTAGTAGTTTTGTCTGACTGGTTCTGGAGTCAAAAGAGTATATTTAATTTTTTGAGTTACTTAGCATAATCATTCTTATGGGAAGTGCTAAGTCAACCCACCAAAATGAGACCCTTGAGGCAGACTCAGATGAATTTCAAACCAGTGGAAAGAGATTGTGAATGGAAGGAAAGAGCCAAGGTCAGAAAAGAGGTGATAACCTCTGCTCAGACTTATGTCTGGATGCTTAATGCAAAATGAGACTGGTTGACTTTCTTTCCCTACTACTAAAACACATTTCTATAGTACTCCCCTGCTCACATTCCAATCTCAGTCCTTTAGCAGAAAGAATAATATAAAGTTCAGCTTGCTTCCAGGCAATAGGTCTTACCTGTTCTCATTACATGTCCTATTACAAACAAACAGTACAATCCAGGAGGACCAACAGTCCTGCTCCAGCACAGTTAGATCCAGATGAATTAGGAAGGTGAACAGACAAAAGCAAAAATGAGAAAGGTTTAACAACACAACTAAAATATAACTTTATAAGCTTGTGAGCTGATGTGGCATGCTGCTTTCAGTAATTTCCAGAGGGAGTGCATATCCATGACTACAAACCAAAGCAATCTAGAAGCTGACCACTCGAAGCCATAAAGAGAGATGCTGCAACTGAAGGCAGCTTGCTCAGGCACCTGGAGAGCTCTCATTGGCTTCCAAATCATAAATTGAAGTCTACCTCTAATTTTGTTACTTCCATTTCTCAATACCTTACTCTTTTTTTTTTCTCTCTCTCCTTTCTCATCGCTGCTTAGTAGTTTGGATTCCCTAGTGAGATGCCGTACAGACTGCTAGGACTCTGCCAAACATTAAAAAGCAGACAGCAGCTGTTCAACAGCTTCAAATCACTTTCCTTGTGAGGCAGTCCTTCCCCACCCCCAGCCTTTGTTACAGCAAGAAGTATTTGTTGAAGTCATTCCCTTTCTCCTGACTTTCTTATTCTTTCATATCTTGCCAATCCACATTGTAACTCACCATTTTTCTAGCGAAACATTTTATACAAACGTTTTGGCCTCTGCAAAGAAAGAAAGAAAGAAAGAAAGAAAGAAAAAAGTAACAGCACTTACCGAGATGAATATTCTTCCATAGTCATGTCAAGAGCAGCGTTTGGGCAGCAAGCAGTATGAAGATCCCTTCATCCTTGAAAATGGTCAGAGAGTCAATGTCTCTTCTCTCTTGGATAAGTGCTAGCTGAACTTTGCCATGCCAGAATGTAACTCCCTTCACTCCCAGCTTCACTAGCTGACCTCATTTCAGAGGTAGTCAAGAGCATGAGACAACATGTGGACAATGTGTATAATACTGAGTGAACAGAGAATGAGTCAGAAAACATGTATTCCTCCTCAAATTGCATGTTTTTTTTTTTGTCTCTTGCAACCTTTTATTTTTCACACCTGTTCATCCTTTCATTTTCTAGCAATGGAGAAACAAAATGAACAGGGACAGGCTTTATTCAGACTCCAGTAGGATCACTTACCAAACATAACAGTTTGCATGTAAAAGCCACTGACTCTGAGTACACGTGACTGAGCTGAAATCAGTCAGTCCTCACAAGTTTTCAGAAGAGCCTGAGAGGCACTAGGAGGCAGCCTGCAAAAAGGCAGAGATTGTAATCATTTCTGTTACATCCACTGTGGCACTCCGTCATCCACTGCAGTCACCTTTGAATTTGGGCAAAAGACTCCCACCTTCCACTGTGCACGGCATTCATTTTTCACATTCAGCCAGCAAGACTACACGCAGGTATTTACCCTCGCAAGTGTCTCACAATCAAAGTGGTCATCTTGTTAATAGGAAATGGAAATGTGTTTTTAAACTCCAGGTCCAAATCAAATTAACAGAAGAATCAGTCCTCCTAGAGCTGGCTCAGCTCCTCAGTCTCCATGCAGTGAAGCACAATGCTGGGCTAGCCAGCACAGCTGCACGTGGTGGATGGTCCCTGTCCTGATCTGTAAGTTCAAATTCTTTCCCTGTCATGAGCTGGGCTGAAACCTGGATTTCTCAGCGCTCTTCACAATAGCCTGCTCCCTGAATGCATGTCTGGGTTCTCACCATTCATTTTCTTTTGCCCTTTAGAGTTTTCATCACACTGGGGGAATCACAATTGCTTGTTGAAGAAACTTCATTTAAAATAATCAAAACACCTTTAGTGTCTATTTCTATAATCTGTAATTTTATTCATGGTGTTTCTGTTCAACCCATTCACAGCCTTAGGTTATGGATAGTACCCTTAAATAAAAGACTATTTGTATGTCTTTATTATGAGCACATATCAAAAATCTTACCACGTTCCACTGACAACAATGGCATTCACTTAAGACCACTCAGTGCTGACAGCTGTCCCTCCAAGGGTTTTTTGCATGTCAACATGTAACTGAGTTTTCATACCTTAATCATTTCATATTACAGTTAATATTGAATGCTCTTGGATAGATGTGTCTGTAGGCTTCATATAACTGATATAGAAGCCATCCCTTCTGCAGTGAGACTGTTAGGTCAATATAACCAAAATGTAATTCAGTTTTATTTTTAAGAAAGATTCCTCTTTTCTGCCTCTTACTAGAAAGCCCAGCATAGTTTAGACACATTTACCATATAATATCGCTTGCCAGGTCTGAATTTTTAGTTGTGTGAATTATGCAACAGGCATGTTCTCACATCATAAGAAAGATTACCTTCCAAAACCCAGCAATTCTTCTGTTTTTAGGTACCTTTATCAGCTCCCCAGCTACTGTAAGTGAACTCTTATGTTAAGGATCTGTCCCACAGCACTTAGGACTTCAACTGCTTCCCCACCTCCTTGAAAGTATTCTCTTTTAAGTTTCTGATAAACCATCCCTTTTCTCTGGTTTAAATTCTGGCTGGAACCTAAGAAAAGGACTCTGATACTTGTTTTATGTGTCCATCAGTCATGTGGAAAGTATCTGAGCTCCAGATTTGGATCACCCACACATTTTTTTCTGAAACATATGTGCAGGCCTTCCCTCTCACAATCCAAACCCAGCTTCAGATTATTTATTTCGAAAATGAGTACTGGAAGGAAAATTCAAACGGTTTAATACTTGCAAAAAAAAATCCAAGAGACATCTATATATATGTAAATCTATATACATATGAAGGAAAGATCTGCATGCAATCTGACATGTAAACTGTCCATACTCTGAAGTTTCAAGTATTTAACAAACTACGGTGGAAGTAATAAAAAAATTTGGTGGGTTTTCTTTAGTGAAAAAACTGCCTGACAGACCTCAGTGAAAATCTGCAGAAAAAATAGGTGAGCTAAACGAAGTATGTATACACCTGAATTTATAGGAAAATGCCTGTTGTATAACCTGGATAAAAATTGCTGAGATATTAACTACATTCCAAATGAAGCTGCTGAATAAAAAGCACCAAAGATTTGGAATTTGTGGATTGGGCTCTAGCTCTGAGCAGTAGCAATATAATCTGTTTCCCAGATAAAAATGAATTTCAAGTCCATAGTTTGGTTCTCGTCACAACATATCCGGATGTAGAATTTGTAATCTGATTTGATCCCTCTAATCAAGGAAGCAAATGTCAGGCTAGCCACAAAACAAAAACAAAAAATGCAGACAAGGAAGATAGTTTTGGCATTAATCTTTTGAAAATGTGACCCTGAGCATGTAACACATAATCAAAACTTGATTAACATAGAAATCCAATTATTGCTTCATTAACTATCATTCATTAATCTAGAAAACACTTGTTAAATGCTTGGACTTCATTTCCCAACAACTACAAATGTAAAAAATAAATAAATCTGGGGACAGATTTAATGACACAACAGTCATCTCAGAGCTATTGCTCCTAGGCCAAGCTTTCAGTGCCTCTCTTGCAGCACGTCCAACCTGGACAGCATGCAGATCTAACACGATCCATTACCAGCAGCAGAGCCACCAGCCATGAATCAACAGGGGCTGCCAAAGCCTAGTAACTCTAAGATCAAGTTGCCTACCCAGCCCAACTCCACTCAGTAGGAAAGCAGTGGTAGAGGACCCATTGGCATCTATGCCAATTTAATTGCAAATTTCATTTTATTTAAAGTTAGCTCTGCTGACTAACCCAGAGCTCTGTGTCCCCAGATTGCTGCTGCCTGGGTGTGAGCCCTCTGTTGGGAAGAGGTGTCCCCAGAGCTTCGCCTCCTGCCCAGCTAGCTGCCTTCATCTCTGTACTGACAGGCTCCATTCAAAGATCCGAAATGAAAACAGGGATGTGGCTGCTTTTTCTCCTTGATCCAAACAGGCCATCCCTTCACAAAGGTCCACAGAAGCCTTATGCTGTTGGGGAGGTGTTTCCACAGGAGTGAGTGCACAAACCTGACCCTGTCTGGGCTCATAGGCAGCCACTACCCCATCCTGCCGCCTTCTATCCTGTTCTACAGACCTTTCACAACAATATCCTTAGCAGAGCTGACCAACTTTGATGTTCCTTAGATAGAAAAAAAAAGAAAAGAAAAAAAAAAAAGATGCTTTTTGAAATTCTTTTCCAGAATATATTTTTAAAATTTCCGTCAGTGCTCCCAAATTCCTGATCCTATGAAGCCCTTTTTTAGAATGTGACACATCACAGACATGAAACAGATGTGATAAACACTTTTGAAACGTTTAGTGGCTCTCTTTTGTGGGCCTCCACACAATCTGAGCAGACAAGAAAGGAAATACTATTACCTCATCTCCTACACGGAGTACTGAGTCAGGAAGAGGGGGAGTTATATGACAAGATGTGGTTATCTATGTCTGAGCTCCTTGACTAGAGTTACTTTGTAATTAATGGAAAGAAATGGGTATTTCCAGATTCGCGTCACCTCATCTAAAAGTAGGCTTCTGAAATAGGTCAGATTAATCTCATCCTGATAGAGTCTGTTCATTACCACAGACTGAAAGCAGGAGCCACAGATGACCAATAGCACTGGCATTTACTTCTGGTCAGGCCAGCCTTGATTTAATTCACTTGTCCAGTGTAATACCAGCCATGTGTGGCAAAGCCAGGTACAAGACTCAGAGCCCCAAAACACAGTTCAGGTCAGCTCCTACTTCAGTGTTCCTTCTTCCAAGGCAGGATATTTACCCACAAAATACAATGCCTTTGACTTAGGATTTCACAGTTGCATTACAGTTTCTGTTCACTACCCAGAAATTAAAACCTTCAACTTTTTTTTTCAGTATATTTGACATGGACCTCTACCTGGAACTCATTTTGCATTCTCACTGCTTATTTCCATCTAAACACTGTTAACAAATTTTTGATTTGCTTACTCCTAGATCTATGTGAAGGAATGTAATCAGTTCATTCAGGGAGAATTTCAGCACTTCAGAAATGTTTTTGCTCCATGTTGAAACAACATTGCAGAACCATCTGCAAGGCAAAGCCTCGAGGTGGCAGAAAACATGAAAGTGCCACCAAAACACATTCATTTGCAGGTGGAGACCTGGGGTTTCCAGGACACTCCAATGATGGGGCAGCCCCACAGATGTCAACTCTCAAGGAGAAACAGTCTTTGTGGTCTGTCTGAGGGTAATATGCTCAAGAAATCCTCTGGCCTCCAGGCAGCTGATAAGCCCTGACTTTGCACGTCAGCATTCCTCTGTTATCAGGCCATCTGCTGGGCAGATGAGCTGGCAGGAGATCAGACAGGTACAATGAAAGCCTGCTTGTTTTCCAGCACACCTTCCTCAAAATAGAACTGTCACCACATGGCATCTTGGCTTTCACTGAAATGCTCCAATGAAATATATTCACCTGGAGCTTCTCCAGCCAGCGCTACAGATGAATCCTGACCAACTGCAGGCTGAGATGGGCATGAACTCTCCATTACCATGGTGCTCACCAACCTGCTAACCCTTCCCTGGGGCTGTGCAGAGTGACCCCAATGTTCCAATGTTCAGCTTGAAGCAGAGGATGGGCAAGAACTTCTAGGAAAAAAAAATAAAATATATATATATATATAGTTTGTCCACTTGTTGCCTTTTGTGGACAGAGGTTTATTGGAAAGGGAGAGGTGATTCCAGGGATGCAAACATCTGTTTTCTTCCAATCTAGTGCAAATTGGGATGTCAAATTCTTAACACCAAGAAAGTACCAGATACTTTGATGGTAATTGAACTTGCCTGTAAATCTTCTCAGCTTTCTCACATAAAATAGACCAATTTTCACTAAATCTAGAGCCTGAATAGTGCAACCTCCTACCTGGTAAGATTTCCTCTTAACTGCCTCTGAATAGTTGCAGAGGACAACTCCGTCAACAACATTCAACAGTGTAGACTGGTGTCTCTCTCTAGCACTGCCCAAGGGGACAAGGCTTCAAAGGCCTTGCCTGACAGCAATTCCAGAATTCAAACCTGGCAATTACTGGCTGTTTACAATGTTCATGGACACGAATTTATGTGCCAACATATATTTCATATTTTTTATGTGTATGAACAGAGCTAGTTGGTGAAAATAGTGCTTTGGAAAGTCTGAAGACCCATTTTTAATAACCTTTAAAGTGGTCTCCCTTGAGAGGTTTTCTTTCACCAGTTTAAATATTTAATATTGTACTTACTGTCTTTTTCTTCTAAAGAAATATTTTAATGAAGCAAAATGGGCAAAGACTTGCACACCACTGGTTGTCACAGCAGCAGGGCTTTAGAGAACAGTAGAAGAAAGAGAGCCACTCATGCAAAAGGACCTACTATATAGGATTTTGAAACCTGTCCTGTAATTCCTTCCTCCCCCCCAGCTGCCTGAGATTCAGGAAGTCCGTGGTATACGGACTTTTAGGATCGGTGTTTCCTAAAACATAGCACTATCAGATTACCAAAGACTACTATTTGCAAATAAATCCTCTCCTTTCTCCTTGCAGCATTTCTCCAATTAAACTACTTTCTTACTTTTTAACTAATAAATATATATGCAAATATATATTAAAATATATTTAATTAATTTATATGCATATAAATGTTTGCTGAATATATACATTCTTTATTATATTGATCATTAAAAAAACTAATTAAAATATATTGATTTATCAGCATTAAAAAAATTGTGCAGTGAACTTTTCTAATTAACTTGTATGTGACAAGCAGAATCAAAATGCAGCTAGTGTGTGGAGTTTGTCACCTTGGAGAAAAAGGAAAATGCTCATGACTCCATACTTTTGACTTTTTATCTTTTCTCTTTTTTCATCCCTGTCTAAATTACCACTGCCAAATTTATAGTGGCACATGACAAAATGAAGTATTCTTTATAAAAAGACCTTCTAAAACAAGAAAGTACACAACAGCACCAGGAAAGAGGATTCAGGCATTTCTTTCTGTGATAACACTGGAAGATAACAATGAGGGGGAGGAGAAGGCATTCAGAGAAAGAATGTCTGTTTCTTAACAAATGAAGAAGCTCATGAAATACCTTAGATGTGTATAAAACAAAAACTGAGCTTCTGATTCTGCTATTATAAATACTAAATTAGGGACTTTGTATCTAGAAAGATTTGTATATAGAAAGCTTTTTCATCTTTCTACTTTTTCTTCACTTTCCTTGCCTTTGCTTCTTAGGTGTTTTTTCATATATTACTGGAAGCAAGAGAAAACAACAGGCTTTACCTTAAAGCAGTAATGTATAAGGGTCAGTTCATCCATAAATCTAAACCATCCTGGGAATCCTGAAAAATCTTCTACTAATACTATAGCTATTAATACCCATTCAAGGGTTTCAGTGTGAGATTCAGGAAAACTTCTGTATTTGTGCCAATAGATAGACTACCATAACTATTAGTTTCACTAAGTCATTTCAGAACTTGCTTGGTTCAAGAAGGATATTGAATCAAGTGTTTAAATACGTTCCCGGTACTTTTTCAATTGGGGTCCTTTTCCTTCTTTCTTTTCTCTTTTTCTTTTCTTTTCTCTTTCTTTTCTCTCTTTCTTTTCCCACTTCCTTCCTTCCTTCCTTCCTTCCTTCCTTCCTTCCTTCCTTCCTTCCTTCCTTCCTTCCTTCCTTCCTTCCTTCCTTCCTTTTCTTTTTTTCCTTCTCTCTCTCTCTCTCTCTCTCTTTCTCCCATAAAAGTGGCTATAAGTTTCAGACTATTCAGCATAGTTTTGTCAGACCATGCTTTCTTTCTAAAATTCTTAGTTTTCTGTCTAACAACTTATATTTTAATAATGATTCACTGTTGTGTATCTACTAACCCATCTTAAATAATCCCATTATATACTAGATGTTAGTGTTCCTGTCTAAAAATTAATTCTACTTAAAAACAGCCAGATATTTTTTCATGTATCAGATGAATCAAAGTACACGTTCCATTAGGTTTTGGAGGGTTTATATCATTTTCTAAAAATATACATTTCAGGATGCCATCTTTCCAGCTTGGGTAATATAGCAAGTAGAAAAGGTCCTCTTGCTCATAGTATGGACAGACAGTTTTTTAAGAGTTATAGTTTGCTGAATGAGAATAACTTTGAAGTTGCCTAACTTATACTTTGACTATTTTTCCTTTTTTTTTTTTTTTTCTACAAAGTTACAGCTGTGCTTTGATACCCAAAGCATTATGTGAAAGAGTGCATCTATATAGACTGTTTCCTTGCCTTATTAGAATGTGCTTGGTTGTTTTATACAGTCACCGCCAGCTGTTACTGACTTAAACATTCCTCACGTTCCCATTTTGTTTGTACCCCTACAGCCTCCCAGTCCCCTGAGGTCAAACTCTTCTCTTGCACAAAACTCCCTAGGATGTTGTAACTGCCCCTGACCTAGCTTAATTTGTATTAACTGCATTTGTCCAGCACAGAGCAGCAGCCTGGACATTTTTATCCAAAACCACAGCTCAAGGAGCTACTGTTCACTTTTTATACAAATCTTAGTGGACAGATTTTTAGAACAGCAGAAGACTAGAGATGAAATCTCTTTTCACTCTTTTCACAGTTTTCACAGAATCACAGAATGAGTGATGTTGGAAGGGACCTCTGGAGATCATCTGGTCCAGTTCCTGCTCAAGCAGGGACACCCAGATCAGGTTGCCCAGGACCACATCCAGACAGCTTTTGAATATTTCTAATGAGTGAGACCCCACTGTAATGTTATGACTCTGTAACTCACACTTCATAGAAAATCCAAGATTCCAGGTTATAGGAAGGAAAACTGACCATTCTTCTTTCCTAAACTGAGCAGATAAATAACAAGAACAATGTCAGAAGCAGAGCAAGTGAAAGGTGGAATGATGTGACAACCTCATGAATAAAGATGTGTAGAAATGAGCAACGTGGCTTCAGATTCTTATTTCCTAGATAATTTGGCAGTTTTATTCACTGAGTGAAATATAAAAACTAAATGATTACATTAACTGGAGCTGCATTAAATGTCTGAATTAGAATATATTATTTTAAGAGAATATAACTACAAGTGGTAATCTAAGTATAACTGTAACCACGCAATATCTGTAATTGAAATAGAGCAGTGTTGGCAAAACATTAGACTGTTTCCTAGATCTAGGCTGCATGGATCAAGTAAGCAGCAATTGTAAAGCTTTTGTATTAACTTACTGAAGCTCCTACAGCAGCTGGTAAAGGAGAAGGCAGTCCCACTAAAGTGAGTTCAAATGCGTGTTTCTTGATGAATGGCATGTTGTTTCCACCTCTATTGTCTAATTAAAGATCCAGAATATTAGTCTGCTGAAGCTGATGGCAGTACAGACTTGACATCAAAGGGAATCAAGATTTGCCATTCTTTTATGAAGAATGATTATTATCTTACGTTTAGAAAAAAAAAGTAAGGCAATACACAGCACATCACGTAGTAGCCCTCTTTGCACCCTCTAGGTGACTGCAGGCTGCATTTCTGTGGTGCCTCAGAGATCCTGCCTGAGACCAAGAGATCATCTCAATCCTAACAGAGGAAGCAGTATCTGAACCAAGTTACAGTAACATTACTCCCACTTTGCTGTTCACTTGGAAAATGTATTAGAATATTGAGGAGCTTACAAACTAAATAGGCTAGGAAGAAAGATTTCTATCGTGCAAATAAGAATTGAGGCAAGAGGAGACTGTCTCACTTGAAGTAGCATAGTCAGGGAAAGTATCACCATCACTGCAAATCCAGGTGGACAGTTTGGGGCAGATGGCATTTTGACCATAACAATAAACATTTTGTTTGCATCTCCTGATTTTAGGCTATTTTATATCTTCTCTAAAATATAGAGAAAACAATAAAGTGAAAAAATTCCTCCCTCTTCAAATTCTCTGCTTACTGCTTTGCTTTCTGAAGGATTGTAACAGATGCTAGATTACAAGTAGGGCATAAATTCTTTCTTGATGAAAGTACTGTGAAAAATTAGAGGGTTACATCAGTGTCTAGAAAGTCCTTGCTCCCAAATAAGCAGGAAAATGGGGAAGGATACATAATAATAATTGATTATTAGAATTACAATTCTCCAGATGAAAACCTAAATAGTAACATCATTAGCAGCCCTCCAGGTAGGAAGTAAGGTGCTGATCAATCCAAATGAAACAAAATCTTCTTTGTCTACAAAATATATTATAACCTGGACTATTGGCAAATAATAGTTTTGCACACTTCATTTAGTCACTGCTCTATAAATGTCTGCTACTTCAGTTGTATTTTTGGGTAACCCTAAATGAAAGTTCCTGTGTGAAACCAAACTCTAGACTGTATTTTGTTTTTAATGAGGATTCTTCCACAAAGTGTTCCATTATGGCTAATGAGATATTAGCAACAAGTGCACTAGAAAGGACAGATGGGAAGATAGTCAACTGTCTAAATCAGAAGATTTTCAAAGTGCAGTAAACAAATTATTAAGCACAATTCTCTGGCTCAATGCCAACTTAGACTGTAGGGAATTGGTCAAAGAGTAGATCATGAAAAGCTTTTCAGGAGCAGCTAAATTCTACAGCTGTGGTCTTTGTTTTTCTAGTACTTTGCAAGAACAGAAGGGGGAATTACGAAAGCGTCTATCGTACACTACCCATAAGCTGGAAATGCTTGAAACGGAATTTGATTCTACACGTCAGTATCTTGAAATAGAATTGAGACGTGCTCAGGAGGAACTTGAAAAAGTAACTGAAAAACTGAGAAGGTTAGTAACTAACTTTTTGAAATAAACAGTTTTGAGGAATTTACAAACAGCTATGTTAAAGGCATATGTAAGTAAAAATATAAACATATATTCTCAAACATAAATTATTTTTTAATGACTACACATTGTATTTTCATACTAAATATATGTATATCACATATCTGAACATATATTACATGCCACAAAACAAATTATGTACATATGATATATAATATATATTTATATTGAGAGTAAACATGAAAATAGAAATATATAGGCAGATATATCTATCATATTGTTTATATGTGAACATCACACATGCAGGGTAGTACTAGGCTGCATTACACAAAGGCTATAAACACAATACATATACACTTACATATATATACTTATACTGTATATATGTATATATAAAGAAAATATTTTAATGAATTTGGCTGCATATTTTCAGTTGTTAGTGTCCATTGCACTGATAGAAGAAAAGAGGATTTGGTCCTTCTTCACTCAAAGCTGAGACAAAGTTTAAATTTATCAGTGATTCTTAATATCCATTTTC